AAGAGGCAGGGAGTGAAGGTATGAGACAATGGAGGTGTAGAACCCGCCCCCCAAAGTGGGGAGGAATAGACTGAAGCAATTGAGGTCAAGAGGAGGGAGTGGGGGGATGGAGGGGGGAGCAGGGGGATGGAGGAGTAGCGCCAGGGGAGGAGGGAATGGGGGATGGAGGAGGGATCGGGGGGATGGTGGGGGGAATGGGGGATGGAGGCATAGTGCCGGGGAGGAGGGAACGGGGGATGGAGGAGCGATTTGGGGGATGGAGGGTTAGCACCTGGGGAGGAGGGAGCGGGGGGATGGAGGGTTAGCACCTGGGAAGGAGGGAGCAGGGGGATGAAAGAGGGATTGGGGGGATGGAAGAGGAGCGTCCTGGCCCCCTCATCCCACCCTCTGCGTCCATACCCCCTCCCTAAATGTCCACCCCTCCAGCTGCCCCCCTTGCCCGCCCCCCTGCGCCATGGGCAAGGACTACAACGATTTCCAGTCGCTCGAGCCGGATGATGGGACCTGTGCCCCGAGCGGGAGAGGTAGGGGGTGGGGCCTGGGAGAGGTGGGGATGGGGGTGGGGAGTTGGGGTATCACAGAGGTGGAAGAACATCTGGGGCGGGGGGAATCCAGGCCAGGAGAGAAGGGGTGGGGTGGGGCGAGGGGGGGTCACGCCCCATAGGATGGGGAAGGGGATGAATCTGAGTCACTAAGCCCCCCACTGGTATCTCTGGCCTCCTGGGTCCCTGGCTCGTCCCCCCACTCCCGGACTCCTGGGTCCCTCTAAGGGGCAGTGAGTGGGTTTGGAAGGGGGCGGTGATCGGTGGTGGCCCACCCACCTCAGTGATGGTCTCTCCCCTCTCCAGCGTTCCCGCCCCGGCACTGGGGCTGGCAGCGTCTCTGCGCCTCCCCCCGGCCGCTCCAAGCCCTGCTGGCGCTGTGCGTCGGGCTCAGCATCGGGACCATCGCGCTGGCCGTCAGCAGTGAGTGCCCCGCGTGAGAACCCGGCAGATGCGCGTGCAAGGGCGTGCGAAAGGAGGGGCGAGTGTGTAAAGATGTGGGGGTGGAGTGTGCGAGGCAGGGGTGAGCGTGCAAGGCGAGGAGCATGTGTGCCAGGCTGGTAGTGATCCCCGCCAGGAGGGGTGTGCAAGGCCTGGGTGGGTGTGCGAGGCCTCCGGGGGTGCACAAGCCAGGTGGGCACAAGCCCGCAGAGCCTAGTTCTCCATTTGCACGTCACACTCACGGATCCTCGTGCTGTCACGGGGCAAGGGTGCAAACCCCCCCGCCATGGGGGGATGCAGTGGGTGCAGGGGAGGGGCAGAAAGAGGGGGTGGGGGTCTAGAGGGAGGGGTCTTGGGGGCGAGAGCAGGAGGGTCTGGGACCGGCTCTCACCCTTCCCCCCCGGCTGTCCCCCACCCCCAGACTCCAGGCTGGGCGCGGAGCAGCAGGGGACGCGGGGGGTGCTGGCCAGCATGAACCAGAGCCTGAGCGCAGAGCTCGAGGGGATAGCCCGGAGCGGTGAGTGGGGGAGGGGGGCTGGCAGGGAGGGGGGGAGAGGGAGGGGGGCAGGGAACAGAAGGGAGAGGGTGGTGAGGAGGGGGAGGGGGATCAGCGGGGAGGGG